TTTAAAAATGTTGTCTAGCCTCCTTGTATTTGCTAAGTTTGTTAAGCTCAAGTTATTTAGATAAAATGATACATATATATGTTTTATATTGATATTTTATTTTGGTTTCTTTACTGAACCCATATTTGATGCTAGAAGAGCTTCAACTTAAAAGCATTGCTTTTAGGCTACTTATTATAGACTATTAAAGAACATAAATAGTCAGTCATAAATAATCAAGTATTTTTTAATTATAATCAGGGCAAATAAATACTGATATAATATTACAGGGATATGTTTACTTATTTACTCAATCCCTTGCATATGTTTTCAGGATTGAGCTTGAAACAAGTAACTAGAATCAAAGTTTGTCTATTCAGATACACTTGGACAGCCCTCATACTTAAGAGATCTGCAGAATATGGCATTTAAATGTTGATCTAAAAGCTTATTATATCAGACAGGCTTCCAGATCCTAGCAATGACCCAAGGTCTCCAAAGAAGATTACATACAAGGCACCACAACATCTCTGCCTGCATCATGGCTACACTGACCACAGGGCAAGATGCCCCAATGCCTGGCTTACTCAAGAGCTGCAGAAGGAGGTGGCGCATTTTTGGGAGCTGCTGATGGCTCAGGGACTCTCAGTCTCTGCCCTAAGAGGTCTAAAGGTAAAAGAGAACAGTCCTGGAGATGCTCTGTCAGCGGTATCATCTGCTCCCACCCCAGCTTCACCCTAGTCTCCTCTTCCACACAATGGGGAGCTGGAGCCCTCCTTCTCCCCCAGTGCTCAGCCCCAGATTGGGCCGGAGGAGGCCATAGAGAAGCTCCAGGAGATGAAAAAGATTATTGCCAAGATAAATGAGACTTGGAAAAAAAAGCCTCCTAAGACAAAAGCCCTCAGAATGGAGAGAGAAACATTACTGGCTAAGATGGGCGTGGCTGTCCAAGAGGATGGTGAAAAGACTCCCCACCTGGTAAATCTAAATGAGGACCCCTTGATGTCTGAGTGTCTTCCCTACCACATCAAAGATAATGTCACCAGGGTTGGCCAGGTAGATATGGACATCAAGTTGACTGGACAGTTCATCTGGGAGCAACATTGTCTCTTCCCATGCATCCCCCAGCCTGATGGAGAAATGATGGTCACATTAGAGTATGGTGAAGGAGCTGATGGGAAGCTTGTGATGGAGCCACTGGTGCTGAAGTCAGAAAACAGGATCTATTTGGGCCGGATGGTGAAAGAAGATTGATGCTGGTGCCTCCCAATGCTCTGGAGACCTGGGAAGGGATTGGTCCTTGTAATTTATAGGATCGGAAGCTTCTTGGTCTGCACTCAGATATTATCCTTCTCAGATTTCTGATAGTACTGATGGCCAGGCTAGCTCTAACTATGTCAGCGTGGCAGCATCACACAACCAGATCCTTCTGCAAGGAGATAGCTAGCTTGTTAATTCACTTTTAGGATAAAAAAACTTCTAAGTTTTGATGATCTCAAAAAAATGATTTAAGATAAAATATGTTTCAGATTACTCTCTTGTTCTATGGTTCAGAGCTTAACATTTAGGAGCCCTGATGAGCTGGTAGAGCAATGACTACTTGTAGATGTATCCAACAGTCTTATTAAATAAGTAACACAGAAACAATGTAAAAGAGAAAGCCCAGAGGTCAGAGCTCAGAGCTAAAATCTCACCCTTCCTCCTGCGCGGTGTCCCAGCTTCCCGAAAGAGAGCTATATCCTGTCTGTTCGTTTTTTTTTTTTATAGTATTTTGTTCTGCCTTCTCATTGGTTGTAAACCCAAACACGTGACTGCCTCGTCACTGTCTGAATGTACAGCCCCCTAGGTCTTAAAGGCATATGTCTCC